GGTAGATATATGGATAGATAGATGGATAGATAGATAATAAGTAGATAAGTAGATAAGTAGATAGATAGATAGATAGATAGATAAACAGGTAGATAGATAGTTAGGTAGATAGATAAACAGATAGATAGGTAGGTAGGTAGGTAGGTAGATGGATCGATACATAGACCGGTAGGTAGATAGATAGGCGGATATACCGACAGGTAGGCAGATCCGATTCAGAAAACCAAATAAATAGATAGGCTAGGTAGATTCCAGCTAGATGGACACATGGATCCATCGATAGATAGAAGCAGGTAGGTAGATCAGAGCCGAGGTAAACAGATGTATGTAGATGGATGGATAGGTAGATGGATGGATAGATAAGTAAGTCCACAGACAGACCGACAGATAGACGTCGTACATGTGTCAGCATATGACATGTACTTCTGTCTGCATGCGGGCAGTTATATAGTGCAAGCACGAACGATGTGTCTCGGTCTTCGTATATTGTATGATTTGTTGCGTTTCAGAATGGCTCCGAAACCAAGGAAATCAGGACAATTCCTCTTGCACTGCGTGCCTCTGCTCCCCTCTTTGCCTCGGCTTTGCAGCTCAGAGCAACCTCAGTGCGTGAACAATCCCGTGCTGCGGCCGCAACAGAACTGAGCTACACACCTGGCGTCTTCATACCATCAAACTAGCTTTTGCGCAGCTTGGGGCAGCACATAAGCTGCCCATTCCATGAAGCTTTCGTAGTTTCGCCTGGCTTTACGAGCGCGACTGCAGCTGCTTATGCGGGGGTCGTGTGCTACTGGGCTTTCCATGACAAGCACTTTCACTCGTCCGTGCGGAATACGACTCATAGACTAGTAAGTTTAACTTATGCTGCTTCCTGATTCATGCTAGCCTGTGAAACTTCAAAACATCCTATCTACAGCATTCTCGCTGCGCTGGTGGATATTGGCAAGGTACGAGGAGCGAGTAGACAAACTGGCTGGAGCCACGGACTCTTGCTCTTGCGCATCTTCGCGATTGTTTCCGAGGGATTCCTGAGGCTGAGCTTGGGCTTCGCGTGCCGACGGTACTTGGCGATTCTAGCTTCCAGAGGATCAGAGTCCAAGCTGCAGTTCCTCCATGATGTGCGCAGCACCGTCACCTCAGTAGAGACTCAGCAGCTCCAGTCGCGACACGAGAGAAAGAGCTTCCCGAGACAGTCGAAGGGAGTTGGGCAGTGAAGGCTCAGAGAATGGCTGAAATTACACCTCAGAGCAGCCTAGAACATCCTACTTTTCGGCACAGGCTGTCCATGCCGGCATATAGCGCATGTGGGTACTACGATGGGAATTCGACCTGCCGATGCTTATTCAAAGCCTGCCTACACAGTGTTTCGGGCCACGCTTTCACTTCTCAGGTGTGCTATCGCAAGAGACACAAGGCACAACGAGCTCTCAAGTGTGGAATTACGACCTGCCTGGATTGGACTTGAGATGCCAGAGCGCGCCAATCCCTCAAAACGGCTCAACAGTGGAACTCTGCACGTGCTTGTTTTCAATCTGGAAAGGAGCCTATGTGGATCCTGCATGACATCCTAAACGGCACCAGCCAGCGGCGCCAGTCACGGAAGGTCTCCCAGGAGTTGGCTTGCCTCACCTTTGTGCCCCTGATGAATCTGATGAGAGCCCTAAACCCTGCCCCTGAGATCCATGAGCAGCTCGTAGGCTTGCGACGAACAGACTGCTTCACCTCCTCCTTGGACATGCTCGACACGCCGAAGGTACCTCTGGAGAGGGCCCAGAATAGGATAGAGGACGAGGGCTGTGACGCGCGTGGCCCAGGCAGTGCGTTCCCAGGTTTCCAGTAACTGGACCCGTAACTCAATAAGATACCCCCTGAAATTTTGTCGAAAGTCCCATGCAGTCAGACCCAGAATAGAACAGGATGCTTGGACAAAGATCCTGTCGAGCGCACGGAGCACATACTTCTGCTTGGCACTGCGCACCGGGGGTGTCTCTGCAGCCAGCGGCGGCTCGTCCTGCCCACTTCCAGCATGAAACCCCGCAGTGCGCTTCGGCCGTCTCTGTGACGAGGATGGAGCTACACACACACAAAGGTTCGCGAGCCGATCTGAATCATATCTGCCCGGAAGAGGCGCTTCCATTCAAAGTGAAATTTAAAATGTCATCAGCTGCAAACTGGACTTATATAATCCGTACCGTACAGAACTTGCCTGCTGGCAGAACCCCCAACTCTCCCCCTGGGTTCAACCACGCTTCCTCTCTCACCTCTCTGTCATGCCTATCCTACATTGCTTTGCTTCTCCCTCCCGCTTTCTCCGTCCATCACTCGCATGCAGCCTGAGAGGGAAGTGAACAGAACTTACTGCAACTAGCAGCAGCATAGAATCATTAAGAATCTGTCGCGGCCTTTTTTGCTTAGGATTTCAATGATCTTGGTCAGCTTATGATGTCAGGGCAGAGGAAATCTTGTCGGTCGAATGCAGGGGCTTGCGGACAAGGAAAGGAAGGCTGCGGCTTTGGCTGCATCAAGCGAAGACTTCAGGAATTTGAAGATCGTGTTTGGGGATTACTGTCTCTAAGTACAAATCCTGGGAGCTTCAACAAAGTCTTGCGCAGCGGGGACTGAAGCACGCACTCTTTGGTATCGGCTGCCGACCTCCGGTGTGCCAGTTGCTGGGAGGCTTGTCTCCAGTCTGCTGCACCTGAGGCATTGGGTCGAAGCAATCGCAATTGGCGGCCTTTCTACAAACAATCTCGCACTGAGAGGCAGGCGCTGGTGTCGGCAGAGAAGACGGGAAGTCACGTCTGCGCTTGTACTTCTGCAGGAATCTAGGAGCCTTCGAGGACCAGGCTTCGCAAAGACGGCCCCACGCATCGTCTCACGGACTCATTTTGGAGCCTTGGAGGCTACGCATGCTAGGCCCTATAGGCACCGAGCTGTGAGGAGTCTATGCTCGATGACTTACGAGGCATCATAGCACAGATGGTGGAGCTTCGTGTAAGATGCGTTGATCCCGGCCTCCTGGTCGGAGTCTGGATCGACCTGCAAGCCGCTTAGCACTTGAGAAGCCTCTAAGTTGTTGCAGGTGGACGAAGGCCTGGTCTCGCCTGGGAAGGAACTCGATCCATCCTCCCGCCTGCAAGCATTGGAGTCTCGAAGGGCTCTGCCTAGCACACCTCACATTGCTGACGAACGGGCCTCATGCTTTTCATGGCCCATGCTGCGGGCATAGATGTGGCATATTCCGGTGGAGGCTGCAGCCGCCGAAAGCCAACAAGCTGACTAAAAAAATATTGCATTCAAGACCAGTCTTACGACGCTGTTGTTTGGCGCAGGCAGTGCGAGCAGTTCCATTTCTCGGTGCCTTGCGTTGCTCGCATCTTGTCTGCACATGTACTACCGAGCAGGTGTCTTGTATCTCGTACGACCTAGGAAGCCGCATCGAAGGGGCTGCTAGCTGCTGCCGACATGCACAGGCCGGTTAGCTTCGGCAAATGGGCCCCCAAATGCTACATGTGTAAGCCTTCAGCTTCCTTGAAGATGCTGCGTCAAGGCACGGCCAAGCTCAGCCACATCAACATGGACTGCCGACATCACTAGCAGGGCGCATTGCTGCCAGCACATGCCGGATGCAAGTTGTCTTGATGCATGTGTCGGCACGTACCGCTTCGACTCTTAGTGCAGCATGGCCCGAACGTGTGCACGTGAGACAATGAATCAGCTATGATAATCGAGGCCATTCCTCACAACATCTGACAACCTTGCCTGAAACCAAGTACTCGGCGGCAAACACAATTTGCTACTGGCGTGAAGCAGAAATTTCGCGGCTGCTGGGGCAGCTTACGATGGCTTGCATTGCTTCGTCTAGCCTATTCCAGTGAAGGTTGAGAATCCAGGGTTGCAGGCTCTGCTTACTTTTACCTATAGAAGCACATGCGACTGCACATGCGTTCCCGCCCTTGGGGCGCCCAGTGTGCTTTCAAAGCTGCCTTCTTTCATGCTGAAGTCTGAGGTGCTATGCCTTCTGCAGCAGGCTCGGATTGCATCTCCGCGACGAGCTCAGATTGCAACTCCTCCGTGGCGACTGCTCCGCTGCCCAGGTGCACTAGGATGAACCTTTTAGCGGTTTAAGGTTTAGGGTTTAGGAGTTTAGGAATCTGCATCTGCATGAAACCTGCCTTTGTATATCATGCTTTCTTAAACGAGCTTCTGGTAAACAACCATCCGAAGGATACTCGGCAACTAACTTGCAGAAACGCACTTGTTGGTTGAGCAAGGTCGGGTGTACCCATGTTCTTCATGCCATCAGAAAAATGGTCCAATATTCCATCCGTTTGGGGACTTCTCTCTTCAAAAATGAAGAGCGAGGCGCCCCACGGTGATGGCTGAAGCTCCCACCACTGACTGGAAAGACAGGACGTTGGGCTTTTGCAGAGCTAGGTCGCAGAGGATTGCCATGGGAATCCTCGGGCTCAAAACCCCACAAACCCCATATAAGGTCATAAACCCCATAGGGTTTAGGGTTTTGGGGGTTTGGGGTATACATACATACATACATACATACATGCATGCATGCATGCATACATATATATATATATGTATATATATATATATTGATTGTTGTATAATATGCTAGAAACCCTAGATGCCCTGGCCTAGACTCTGCAAGCTTGCGGTTTCTGCCCTGAGGCTTAGGTCCCTCGTAAGAAGCCTCATGGGAGTGCAGCGTCCATGTAGAGGCTACTGTGCAGAGGGCCACGCTGGGGACCTTTATTCGTGGCCTCTGGCGTAATTTGGGATGTTTTTCCCCAACTTGCCATCTAGTCGTACAGTCCCTTTGTCGGGAAAAATGGGTAAAAGCAGAAGGCCGGATCCTGGAATCCCTACACCCTCAAACCACCCTAGAAGGGAATTCCATGAATAATGAGACCCCAACATCAACCCCAATTAAATACAGTCCTTTTCGTGTGCACCCAAAAATGGCAACTCCAATTCTAGGAAACCCTTTGTGGGGGCCTATAAGGATAAGTCATGAGGCCCGAGGGAGATGCTCACCGTAGCCAGCGTTGCACCAACAAGCCGCGAGACGCGCAGCCAGAGGTAGTCCTAAGGACTTACTTAAGCGCCTAAAGGTTTTCGGGCCCAAGGAAGTACTTACAACTCCCTGCACACATCTGAATCCTATGGATGATTATGCCGAATTATACCTAGCAAGCACCTAGCAGGGCACCTTGCTGACTCTGAAGGAAGGAAGGTTCCCTCGTTCGTCAAGCGTTGGAGTTGTGGTGGGGTCTGTCGGAAGAAGGGCAGCTGGTTTGAGGGGTGGTCTCAAAGAGCTTCGACTTGTCAGGCCCGCCAAACATTATTACTATTGTTATTATTATTATTATTACTATTACTATTACTATTATGTTTGTTTTTATGAACATGTACAAATACTGGCTATGTGCACGTAGGCAGGCAGTTAGGTAATCGACTGCCACCCCCGGGGATTTTGCAGGGGTGGAGGGAAATTGTCCGATGCGTTGTGCCACAGGTGTGTTTGTGTGTGTGTGTGTTCTTGGGAAGGTAGGTTGACGGAGCTCTCCCTGCGCTGTGGCACACGACCCCAGTAGTTTACTTCTTTCATCATATACTTTCGGATGCAACATCTAGGCACTACACTAAGCTAAGGACCCGGGGCTGCATCGTCTCAGGGTCTAGGGACTGAACGCAATGAGCAACCGGAGTACTCTGACTGGCCAGGAGTCAACAAAAACGTGTGCCACCAGACCTTGGACCATCAGAGCTCCCCCAATGGCCCATGTCAGGTGGGCGGAGGAGGCTTGCCACAGCGCGACAGGCGCCTTGATGAATGTTGCGCCGAGATGCCATGGAGAATTTTTCGACATGTTAAAACATCCTTGCCGACACGGCTCAAGCGTGGCCAAAATCTCAACTGAAACAAGCCCAGTAGCCAGGAGCATCATAATCAAGAAGCCCCCATATCCGAGTACCAGCTGCATGCTGTAGAAGGCCTCATCCTTTGGGCACAGCACACGTGCCTGAACCACAAAGATCGCAGATGATGCGGCGGATACCAAAGCCAAAAGATCACCCAACAGAAGGGAGCTTGAAGACAAGGATGTCGAGCCCTTCGCATCGTGCAAAGATGTCAGAGCAGAACCAGCGACACCCAACAAGACACCTGGCGCGTCATGACAAGTCTTAAGCCTACATATATATAGATAGATAGATAGATAGATAGATAGATATGAGGATAGCAATTATTCCTTGCTTTGGGTTTCTGCAGGGGCCTAGATAATCTCTCACAACACTGCGTTGCATAAAAAATGTTCCCAGCATCAACTCCCGCAAAGCAGGTCCCGTTTGGGAGCAACGCTGGTCGTTTCTTAAGATAAGGCGAGCCAAGTATAGACCCGAATATACCGTAATCCTTCTTATCGGGGCCCTCAATCAGTAAGACACACTGAACTGTAGGAAACCCCCACTTTGCCAGCAGCACCCAGCCTGAGGCCTTTCGCCACCCAAATTGCTCGTCCTGGGTGAGGATGGCGATCAAGAACGTAAAGATTGATGTCCTCCACTATTCAATGGGCGAAAGAAGTTCTACAGGTACGGATTCTCTGGCAACTCACACTTGACCTGTGGGCCATTAATTGCTAGCTGCGTCTACATTGCCTCCACAGTAAAATCTAGAAACGAATGCAAAAGGGAATGCAGGGTCGTGGAGTCCAAGGCTGTGGCTGAAGCAATAGAAGTTGACTTGAGCGACAGGTTCCAAGTCCAGTTGCCAAGCACCTAGGCATGAGTTACGCCTTTGGTCGGGGACTCGTATCACATGGGTAGTTCTCCCTTTTCGGGTCCCTTTTGTAAGGGTGCCGTACTTATTGGGGACTTAAAAACGGGCCCTACTTTAGAGAACTACCCACATGACAGACGTGCTAGCCGGAGCATTCAGGCAATGCTTTGTGCAAGTTCACTGGGGAATGTAGCAAAGGTGCAACATAGCGGGATTTTCTCAGGATCTGCGGAGCGTGTGGTGAAGTGAGAGAAATGAAGTGCGGCCTCTCGCTACCTCGCAGGATATAGCACAAAAGTTCTGAATTGATCTCCCCGGCCCTGCCTGGTGAAGTGGTCGGGAGGACATGTTAACTTTCAGGCTCTATGTAAGCGCACATAGGAGCACCTACCCCCAGTGATGTTAGGCACAGATAGGTATCCTACAGGGATACTTGGCGAGCCACGTTTATCCGATCCGGGCACTTGGACCCAGGCCTAGCCCCTCCTCTTGCCACTGGCAACACATCTCGAAGTAAGAGGAAATGGAGGGGGGAAGGGGGTTCGTGCATTACCTACAAGACGCGCTTCAGGAATGAAGAATCTAACGAAGTTGCTCTGGGCTGTCTAGGGCCCACAGATCCCCCAAAGAAAGAGAAGCCAGCCGTCCCGGAGACCTCAGGGCTTGTAATGTAGGGGCCTAAATAACTACCAATGCTAGTTTGGGGGGGGGGCTCCTTAGCATACTTATAGTCTAATATGCCCCAAAACCTTATCCTAATGACTGGAAGGCCCCTATATTTACAGGCTTTAGGGTCCGGTTGCTCAAAAGAGTCCCCGTCAACCTCTGGGAGCTCCCACTTCCAGGTATTTTGAATTACTGGGACCTACCCCTGTATGGTCATCCCCTACTGAACGCTATATCAGAAGTCTTCTAACAGCTAGCGTAGAGTCATCCCTGCTGAACGCTATATCCGAAGTCTTCTAACAGCTTGCAGGGCACCCAAATGGGCATCATCCGTATCGCGGCATACAGGTGGTCGCGCGGAGTCCAAGGACGACGGCGATCTCCAAGCTGCCGCTGGATCGGCTCATCCTGTAGGTGCGGTTCAGGTTTGGGATGATGGGTTATAAGTTATAAGAGTTAAGTTTTAGCCTCCCCCGTGGCTGGTACGCACCCTTAGCTTAGAATTTGGGAGCTTATAACATCTGATAACGCTTACGCATTTAGGCCTGAATGATTATAGGCGCGGTTGCGGTTGTCAAACGACGAAGAGAGATTTACGGACATTTGGGACGCATGTTGTGCCATGCGGACGCTCCTACTTACGGGGCCAGACCCCCTATATCCCTTCACATATCCACAAACCCCACAGTCCAGCCCGGCCCTACACCCTATAACCATAACCCAAGCTGTTTGCCTTTCTGGGGCCCTCTCCTGTCTAGCCCAAGCCGAAGACTGCGATGGCAGGAGCCATGTCCCCAAGTGGTGGAGTGGGATCAGTAAGGCAAAGCTGCAGGCCGCTGAGTAAGTGAATAAGAACCTGGATCTTGATGGTTGCTAGTAAGGAATGTGTGAATGAATTGAACTGCATGTAACATAAACATATCAATGATATCAGGATATAATTGAGATTCTGGGAGGGATCATATTCCTTTATGCCCTACTAGCCACCACCCGTGAGTCAGCTTGCAAGAGTTTACGCTTTACGGTTTAGGGCAGTCGTGAAAACATGTGAAAACCTAGACCGGTTTGAGGCAGGATTGGAGTGCAGCACCCGAAGCTGGGTTGCTGTTAATATCTGTTTAGGAACTTAAAACAAGCTACGATCAAGGGGAAGCTCCATTAAGTCTACTATGTACCCATACTATGGTAGGTAACTGAAATGGAGATCCTTTAACAGCAACCCAGGAAGTGGGGCAGACTTAATATAGGGGCCTAAAAATTAGAATAGGGTTCGGGGTAAAATATACTCGAATTATAATAATAAGGAACCCCCCAAACCCTATTCTAATTATTAAGGCCCCTACATTACCTGAATCCACCGCTTCTTGACCTATCCTCGTCTCTCAGACTGCCCACACACGGGTACTTTCTAAATAAGCGTCCCTTTTCAGGTCCTTCTAATAAGATGCCGCCTTTTTTTTGGGACTTAAAAAGGGATCCAGACTTTAGAGAACTACCACCATGAACCCAGTTAGAGCAGACTCTGATGAGGTTAGGTGTATGTCAGAACATATGCATAGTTCTGTAAGATTCGGGTCCCTCTTTGAGGTCCCCAATAAAGAACGGCACCCTGAGAAAAAGGACCCTAAAAGGGACCCTACTTTAGAGAACTACGCATGTGAGGAAGATTTCTCCTTGAGAGAGCCCTAAATACGCTGAACCCAACACCCTAACCCAAGGTTCAGCCAGGAACCCATCAGAATGTCAACCTTACTCAACCTTACTGGTGCTTGTGTGTGGATCTTCACTGTAAAGCGGCGGGCTGTCAAAATGCAGGTCGCCGTACAAGTATTGCACCAACGCTGATGATAAAGTCCAGATGACATTCAGTAGCAACAGCCTCGATATGAGCTCAGCAAAGAAAATACCATGACAAGACATGTGCTGTTTGTTAAAAACAGCACTAGTGCTGAGCAATAATAGTAAGGAGCACGACTAGGTGACAAGAGGAGGAACACTACAAATCATAATTGAATAGTCGATCATGCGATCCAGGTAGCAGCAGCAAACCGAAGGCGTAGGCTCGAGTCACCATGGCACTTGTCCATCTTTTAGTGCGTCTCGTCTGCACATGTACTGTCTTGTATCTCGTTCTGCTATCTGCTGCCGAAAGGAACAGGCCGGCGGGCTTCGGCGAATGGGCCCCGAAATGCTGCATGTGTAACCGTAACCCTTCAACTTTCTTGAAGATGCTGCATCGGTCAAGCTCAGCAACATGAACGTGGGCTGCTGACATCAGTCGCATGCTGAATGCAAATTGCAGTGTTGAAGGGCCATTGGCATTGGAGACCACTTGTCTCGCTCGCGCAAGCAGGTCTGGCTCACCGCCAAAACAATCCAGCAGCATGGATCTTGTCCATGATGATGGACCTTAGGGTTGTGTAGGGTTTAAGGGTTTCAGGGTGTAGGGTTAGGGGGAAGCATCGAAGACTACTGTCACGAGGCGAATTTGAGCTGTTCACTGCCATCCTTTACCGAGGCGGGCGCTGCAAGCCTTGGCTGGATTCGCGGACCTCGCCAGAAAAATCTGCGGGCTTCAGCAGAACCTCTTATTGTAAGGTCCGCACAGGTCTCCACAGAATGGCACTCTTTTTCTGCGACTGGTCTCTCTCAGCAGCGAGGCGGTGAAGCGCACACAGCGCTCCCTGACAACGGGAACAGGCCGTAGGTTGCGGGTGTAGAGATCATTAGGCTGATGCAGTGCTCGATAAAAACTGGGGTTCGGGTCCGTTTGCGATTCAACAAACCCTCAGAAAACACTCTGGCGGGAAATGTCTGATTTGTCGCGTACTTGTCCAGAATCAGCATTGAAGCAGCCAAGGCTCCGATCGCCAGCATCGCAGACATAGGCGACTTGAGCCCCACCCGTGCAGGTGCAGGCTGCGTCCTGAGACTCCGGTAAATGCTTGTTACCATTCTGGCCATTGTGGCCTCAAGCATTTCTTTTACAAATGTCGAAAGTATGTCGACTAGTGACGAGTTGCAACTCGCAGTGATGACGAAAATAATCCTTTTGAGAGAAACGTGCTTGGAAGCATGCAGCGAAAACCCTCCAGACTGTCACAAGCGCGCACAACAGACAACCTCATAATTGAAAACTCAAATCACACGTGAGCAGCGAACCAACTTACCAACTTTCCAACAAGTGCTTCTACTTGTTCATTTCGCTGCTTGACCTCGGTACCCGATCAGCACAAAAGCATACAACCCCAAAGCGCACTAAAATCCCGACGCAAAACGCAAGGCCGTCGGTCAGTTTGATCGCAGGGCATCCAGAAACCCAGAACGCAGGTAGGCTTGTCCTTGTGTTCGCCCGGAGCAGTTTGCAATTCATAGTTTGCCTGTACATTTGTTGTTGCTCCATGCTTGGGCGGCAAAAGAAACTATGGTGCTTGGTGGCTGATTCTGACATCATACGAAGCAGTCCAGGGCCATTGCCGGCTTCTCCTCCTTGCTTAAGCCCGCAGCAGTTCGCAATTCACTGTTCGGCTGTACATCTCTTCTGCCTCCATGCCTGGACTTCAAAAGAAGACTGTGATGCTATGTGGATCCTGAGATCAGGTGAAGCAGTCCCGGGCCATCGTCGGCGTGACCCTGCGCAGGTCGGCGTCGGCATGGATGAGCTCGACCACACGAGCTGCCAAATGGAGAAAAGTGATGTTGTGCCTGGAGGAAACCTTGTCCTGGAACATGTCCTCGTAAGCAACAGCCCTCCCCCAGAGCTGAATCCCAGTAGGTCGGCCATCCGAACTTAGGCCAGTGGGCACAGACAGCTTTGGAATGTGGATATGCTTCAACATCTCGTTTATAGGATAGACGCTTTGCCACATGTCCGACAGCGCCGGCTGACCTTCCGCATCTATAGCTGGCATGGTGCCAGCCAAGGCCTGCGCTAAATCGGGAGTTGCATTGTAGGCTGCAGGAACCAGGATGAAATCCAAGTTCTCGGCGTCGAAAAGAGAATTGTATCGCTCGACCTCGTCCTTGATGAACGGCCCGATTGCATAGCGATAATCCGTCTCGCTTTTGCATGTCATGTCTTCATAAAACTTGGTGGGTTGGTGTGCGCCAAAGGGGATCGTGTCTGCGCAAATCTCTTTGAGGCTGACAGGCGCATCCAGGTAGTCAAAGACAAACTGGGCAATTTGGCCAGGAAAGGTTAAAAACAGCGATTGAGGAGCCTTCTTGTCGGTTACCAGCGACATCACTCCCTGCTCAGAACCTGCCAGGGGCCATCCTGTGTCCTTGAGAGTCAGTGGTTTCAAAGCCGCCCTGACGGCATCGTAGGCCTTGCGCATTATTCCGTCTAGCTGCCGGCTCGTTCCCTTCACCCAGGGCCACTGAGGGCAGGCAACCCGGATGCCCTGCAAGTCCCGCTCTTTGGCCTGCTTTGCGGCGGTGGCATGGAGCTCCGCAGCGTTGTGGCGGTCTTGCATCAGTGCCCGATCGTAGAAAAGGAGATCTGACATGCTGCGTCCCAGCACTCCAATTTGATCGTTCGTAAATGTCATACCGCAATTCCCCTCGTTGGGGTAATGGTTGCGAGCGGGGTCGAAGCCGAAAAGGCCGTTGAACAAGGCTGGGACCCGCGTGGAGCCACCAGTGTCCTCGCTCACAGCGACAGGGCACATGTGCATGCTTACAGCTGACCCGGCTCCACCCGAGCTACCGCCTGGAGAGAAAGCGTGGTTGTAGGGATTTCGGCACTGGCCACTCGCCCGGTTCGCCGTGTTCGTAGAGCACGCAAATTCCGGCACATTGGTGGTACCGAAGATGATGCCATTGCGACTGTAGATCATATCTGTGAGCGCACTATTCTTGACCGGGGTGTAGCTGCTCAATATGCCGACCCCACCGCCCGATGGAAAGTCAACAACAGCTGCAGTACCCTTCATTGGGATCGGCAGACCGTACAAAGGGCCGATGACATCAACACCCTTCGACTCCGCCATCCTGTCCAAAGCTTTCGCACGCTCCACGGCAACGCTGAAAAGATCGTAGCTCCGGAAGGTCCACTGATTCATGTAGCGGTAGTAAGAAGCCCGTCTGACCAGCAAAGTGGTGTACTCCTCGCAGGTGACTCTGCACGCTTTTCGCTCGTCACAATACTCAGTCGCAGATAGCCTCAGAAGCTGCTTCTCCCGATCTGTCAGAGGCTGCGGGGTCTTCATCGGAACCGCTTCAAAAACATTTCGGAACCATGCCGACAACTTCTCGCCCTCCCGACAATCAGGCGGCGGAAAGTCAGCGCTCGGAGTGTACTTCAGCCGCTTGGCCTCCATGGCACTTGCAGCGGCGTGGCAAGCCTGGTTCGTAAACGGCTGGCCGGTCTTGTGTTCCATAACTCCGACTGGCTTTGTTCTGCACTGTAGGACAATGCAGGTGTGCTGCAGCACATAAAATCTACCTACGATTCCTTCTCCTCAAGACTCCACTAACTACTCTAGCTTCCCAAAGCATGGTAAACATGTCATCCGAACTCAAACAAACAACGAGTGCAAGTTATTGATGTCACTTGTGTCATTCCCACAGTATGACTTCCGTCACTGTTGCCAGTAGTTGCTCTTGCACCGCTATCCTACGCTGACCACGACCGTCCTTATGATTCAGCAGGGCTGTGGTAAGCCGCGGCGCGGCGGGCACGCCCGAGAAACCCTCTTCGGCCCAGCGTGAAGTGGTCAGGAGCAGGGCGCCGCCGTCGCTGAGCTCGATGGCTTCCTGACAACACGTAGTATATTGTATAGACATATTTCTATCAGACTATGCAGTACTATTAATACTACAGTATACTCTCCTACATGATAGTATAGTATATGTGTTTGAAGTGGGGGGGTGCAAGGGTAACCTGGACAGGATGATACTTGTAAGTGCTTGACATAATGATGATACTGTTTCGCTGCTGTTGAGGGGAGTCTTCTGATCGGGGTTAGTCGTGCGGCCTTTGTGCCGCACAACTCTCTGCATCTTTCTAGGCGCGAATGGCCCTGCAAACGGTGTGCCACGGCCAAGATGTGCGGCAGCGGCTGCACCGTTCTGGGAGTCTATGTAATGCAATGGACAAAAGCCTCCCTGCAACCCCGTGTGACTCCTGATGCTGTTGGTTTTCCTCAGACCGTTCACTGCGAAACAGCCTGACCTCGACCTCTGCAACAACGTTGTTAGGGTCCCCTTTTAGGTCCCCAACATAGTACGGCATCCTTATAACAAGGACCCTACAAGGGACCCTAATTTAGAGAACTACACATATGCAGACTCGCGAAGAATTGCTGCTCGGGAACAGGCTCCTCGAAGCTCTTCGCCAATTTTACCCGAGATTCTACCCTGTGCAACACACCCCAAACCCCTAAAGCAAGGAATTACAACTACAGCCCTCAGCCCTGAACCCTCGCTTGATCTATTGTTATATTTGCTATGTTGACACTCACATTTTTGCTACCAGTATTACTCTAATTACTATGATAAGTCTTGGTTATTACTATTCTTATTAAAGTATTATTATTGTTACTGTTATTGGTAATCTGATTATGATTATTACTATTATTGTCATTATTGTCATTATTATCACTATTATTATTACATTTATCTACTTACTTATTCATTCATTCATTCGTTTATTCATTCATTTATTTATGTTCTTATTTGTATTATGATGATGCTTATCCATTTTCATGTGAATATGATTAGTCTTATGATGATTGTCAATTCCCGTATGCTTAGGCAGGTCCTGCTCTTCGGCTTTTCCGAAGGTTCTTTGGGCAGCCTCATCACCGCAGAAAACCACAGGCACCTTCCCGAAGTGCACTGGCGTTTGGATGTGGGGGATTTCCACTTTAGGCTCTCGCAACTCGACTCCGAGTGACAGGGATTTAGAGGGTTTTGGGTTCAGGATTCTTGAGTTGAGGGATGTTGAGGGTTTCCGACTCTCACGACTCGCACAAGGCTCAGGGGTTTTAAGTGAGTAATGTATAGAGGGGTTCTACAATGGTTTGTTGTAAAGTTTCTGGAGTTCATGGGCCATGGTTTGTAGTGTTTACGCTGCCACACTCAAACTCCACCCCGCCACATGAGGTTCATGGTGCGACGTGAACATCGGCGTGAAGCACGCAAGCAAGGTAAGATCGATGATCGGCTCATGGGGGGATCCGTGGCAGGCCTTTCTACAACGCATGCCATCGATGTCATGCGGCTGCCACGAGCGCAGGCTGTCCTTGTTTTGTCTGTCTGCCCGCGCACAGCTTACTTTGTTCTCTTGAGTTGCCGGCGGATGGTCGTTTCCTGTCCCGTTCCGCAGCTGTCAGTCAAAGAGATCTCCAGCCACCAGGGGGCTGACGAGACATCGCTGAGACTCGGCACTTGCTGAAGAGTTGGAACTGCATTCGCCTCGAGATGCTCCCAAATGATGGCCGCGATGCTCTCAGGCGTCACTCGGGCACTGGGGACGGGCAAGCAATCCTCTTGTGGGATCGAGAAAGTGGCACCGTCACTTGTGACGCAGATTTGCCCCTTGGACTCAGTGATCTGAGTGCCACCACTAGCCAGCTTGGGTAAGATGACCTTGTCCGACAGCTTCCTGCAAACATCGGCCGCGGCTTCGCGCAGAAGGCTTGCATCCACTCCAACGGAAGCGGCCAGGCGCACCTTGACTGCCATGCTCTCTGCCAAGAGGCGAAGTCGCCGTTTGTCACGTGAGGCAAGTCGTGTGCAAGTGAACCTCAAGTCCGGCCCTTGCACCAAAACCTCCCAGAGACCGTCTGCAGGCGCGGCCCGCTGTGGCCCCTTGAAACCTCCCTGCTCCCGCTTAGGCTCTTTATGGCTCTCCTTCAAGGGGAGACGGTCCTCTGAAGCTCCGGGGGCCAAGAAGGGCTTCGGAGCTGGAGGCCCGGCTTCCTCGGCCCTCATCGCCTCGCAGGCAACGCACAGCTCTCGACCATCCCGGGATCTCAACCTTTCTTGCCCAGTTCAGACTGCAAAGAAGATTTGTTCAACTTTCCAAGGCTCCGCGCGCAATAAAAAGAAACCAAAACCAGGAGCTTAATGCGTGCAGACTCTGCCAAGGAACAAGGGCGTCAAGTGCTTGGCGCATGACTCGTTCAGCAGGCACCAACCCTGCAGCAGGTGCTTGGCGATGAGGTTCGGATACGCCGCTTCTCCAGTTTCGCTTCTTGCCATGGCTCGAGGCGAAGGAGTCGGTAGAGGTAACCAAGTCACCCATTCTGCTGCGAGCTGCTTCTAAAATAACAACTGAAATAAGCATAACAGTTGGACGATGCATGCTGCTTGGATTCGATTACGTCCTCAACCCTTCAACGTCTTGACCCTTCTGCAGCAGATAAGGCCTCTTGCCAACATGGCTACTGCAGGAAAGCTTCTGAGGGAAGGATGTGCTGTGGCTCTTACCTACTAGCTGTATAGGGTGAACGTTCATGTTTATGTTGGCAAGAAAGGCTGGCATAATGTCATGTCGCTGTCGTCTGCACTCCACTCGTGCTTGCTTCCCTTTAAAGTGCCACTGACGCATACCTGGTACCTGCATCACACAAGTGGAAGGAAGTCGGCTGCCTCAGGCCTCAGCACCGTTCCGAAGCGTTTCCCCAGCTGATACACCGGCACCGGAAGACCTGAATTCCCAGAATCCCCCTCCGCCAACGGCTCCTTTCGAACCCCTAAAGAAGGCCCTAAGCCCAAAACCCCAATCCCCAAATCCAAAAATGCGAACCGTTAAACCTCTTTAAATGCATGGCCCGACCTTTGACCGCCGGAGTTCCACCGCCATCAGCTCGGAGGCAGAGGCACTCTTAGAGTTCACCAGCACAGCCGCGGCCTCACGAAAAAGCGTCTTGTCCTATTGCTTAGAGCTTGCATGCGTTTGCAACACCTCTCATGGACAGCCAGTATGTAGGCTAGTCCTTTTCCCAGTGACGACTGCTGGCAACTACCAGTCATCAAAACGACAGACTATGACGGAAATACGGCGACCTGGGCACACGACCAGATGCCAATGTGATTAGTTCACAACCCGTCAGCTGACTCGCAGCTGGTGGCGATGGACTCTACGCATAGCCAGGGCTGCGTGGATCGATATCTCAGCTCATGTAGGTATATGTCCAGTCGGAATGTGGTGAACTTGAGTGATCATGGGGTACATGCTCCTGATGCATCAGATGTAAAAATAAATTCAAGGTTTCTCTTGTCATGTGCTCCAATGCCGGCTCTGCTGGCCAGCCCATTACGTCGCGAAAGTGTTGCAACTGCTGCTTTGTTCTGAGTAGAGGCTGGTGTGGCAAGCAACTTCCGCCCTTGAAAGCCCTGAGGTGTCGTCGTGAATATGTTGGATTCCTGTTCAAGTGAATCAAAAGGCGTTTTCGTGTGCTTTCGGCAATCATATCCTGCTTCTGCCTCTTCAAGGGCCTGCAAAGTAAATAGGGGATCTCCTTTTAATAATGACATGCTGGGGCAGCGGTGTCCTGCCCGCCTCTATGTTCTTCTGTGCCAGCTGCTGCTGCAGCTCTGTCGTCGCGCGCTGTGCATCACTCAAACGGCCGCCACCTCCAGTCATAACAAGTTGGAGAAGTTGCAACAACACCACCCAAAAAATCGTCACAAATATGAAATCAAATCAGATACGGTTGTCGCGCAAATCCACGATGAGGTAGCGGAGCTGCTGCCTTCCCACAATTCGTACCCTCCGTCTCTGGGGACAGTCGCAAACTTGCGACAGCACCTCTACATCTTCCGGTCATCTTTCGGAATGTGCAACTACAACATGGCCTGACCGCATCATGCAGAGCTCCACGAAGGGGCTTCACCACATCCGGCCCATTGAAGCTAACGATGCGGATATAGCCTCAGAGAGAGAGAGAGGGAGAAAGAGAGTGACAGACAAACAGAGAGACAGCCATACGGACGGACACGTCATACGTACATGCATACATACATACACAAGTACATACATTTGGATAAATATATACATAAGAGATATATTTATATATATACATACATACATACATACATACATACATACATACATACATATCGAGATAGATAGTTAGATAGATAGATAGACATATAGATAGGTAGATAGATAGAGAGAGATACAGAAATAGAGAGATAGGGAGAGAGAGAGAGAGAGATAGATAGACAGCTAGCAAGCTAGCTAGATAGATAGATACATAAATAGATAGATAGAGATAGATAGCTAGAGAGATAGAGAGAGAGAGAGAGATAGATCGAAAGATAGATAGATAAATAGATAGTAGCTAGACAGATATACAGAGAGGTAGGTAGATAGATAGATAAGTACAAGGCACAAACGTATTATAATATATATATATATATATACATACATATATGGACACACCCCCGACCCCATGACCTACCTCGGCCTTTTTTCTATTGTAAATAGCATCAAAACTTCGTTTGGGACGGATTGTTGCTTTGCATACTTTTCGTGGATGATCCCAAGTTTACAACGTCGCGCATACTCATGTCCGCTTTAATTGTATTTAACGAGACCATACCATACGACGACGGAAACCAAAAAAACAAAAATCCAAACATCCAAAACCTTTGTGGGGCACCCGAAACTTTTGTTTTTTGATTTGCTAGGTTTTTTTTTGTGTTTCTTGGTTTCGCCTTAACGAAACCATGGCTTTTTTATTTTGGTTTCAACAAAAAGGAAATTTTGGTAGTTCTGGTGGGCTTCTGGTGGAGAACCAAAAAAAGCTAGGGAATTTTGGGATTAGAAAACCAAAGCAACAAAGGAATTTTGGGTTTTCTGCTGGGTTTCTGGTCAAAAATCCAAAAACACCTTGTGTTTGTTTTGGTGGTATTCTGCTGGAAAGCCAAAAAACCATGGTTTCGGTGATACGAAACCATAAAAACACTCGGAAAACAAAAAAAAAGACAAAAGTTCCAAGATTGCCCTAGAGGTTTTGGATTTTGGGCTCTCTGAGCCTTCGAGCCAACACTGAGCGCAGCATGCTTGATAGGAAGTGGCTTCGTTGTGTAAGAGATCTCGTGCCAGAAAGCCAAATATATCAACTACTGATAATTATTACCTGTTACTTGTGGCCAGCTGTCATCTAAGTATTTCCTTAATGCCAAAAGTGCTTTGGGTTTATACTCATGGGATATTGGTCTGATATTTCATGAAGATCAAATATGAAGCGGCACCACTCACTATGAATACCAAATGCCAAGCAACATTAACAACTACTAAGTATCTCTTGTGACGGTAGCTCGACAGGGAAGAGTGGAATCACTATCAGACGAGGTCTTGAAGCGACATTGTCTGACATTTACAGTATATTAACAGTCTGTTTCAGATCTTGATCTGCAGGTAAATACTAGTGCATTATTGGGTTAGAACTCACTGCATCTCTGACAAAATGCTCACTAAATAGTGCTCACTACATAGCATCAACATCTGTAACCATACACTAAATGTTAGTTAAACACCAAGCGAACATTCAAATAAATGCTGTGAACATACTAACCAACTGCCATTGACGTACGAAACAAAATATCCAATATATGCTACATCCCCAGCTCATCTACCTTTAAATAGTAAACAAATAACACATAGCTACGCTGGAAAAATGAAGAAAAACTGAGCACCCTAGAACCATTCTAGAACCATTTACCATTCATATAAGGTTCAAACGACCTTTACAAAATTGCATGGTGTTGTAACGGTCTTGTCCCAGAACTTTTGATTTCTTTGGGTAACGGTGTTGGATTTCCACTAATAATGTGAGAGTATATCGCATACCATGAACAGTCAGAAACCTCAAAGTGCTGGGATCATGAAAAGCCCAAAACGCTGGGTACATGATCCCGCTTGAACCGCGGTTGGGGATACTCTTTACAATAACCACGATAAGGAATATTAGCGCATAAAAATCAAACAGCAACTCGATGCAGAAGCGTGAATAATGAGGTACAACATTCCCTAATCGTCCCTTCTATTACTATGTTAATACAGACATATTTCAAGTATTGGCCCGTTTACATCGCGTAAACCCTGATCCTAAACTTCAAGATCCGAGGCAAGATCATAGGAACTTTCAGTCTACATTTCTACATCTAACCTTTCGTAGTTTCGTACCTATACCCTTCATAAGAGCTGCAAGTTGTCGGCATGTACGGAATTTGATGAGTAGCTCATATTCATATACAAAGTCACTCACAGGCACATGTAAAACCATTCGAGCATGTTTCCATATGCAGCCTTCGATACACCTGTGTATATGCGAGGCGCTAACAAAGTACGCAGCTGTTATTTATCTACTTATTCATGTGTGTATTTAACTATCTTCGGGAAATATGCAACACACGCACATGTACTCACACAGAAACGTGCGTACATGTTTTCCTACGTCAGTATACTTTAATAATCAGTAGTCTTAGACATGGGTGCGCATATGCCATTTTTATATACACCCGTATTGTGAAAACACCGGTGTGTCTGTGTTGTATGTGCCTATGTACAGATACACATGTATGCAACATCCATATGTTTGATTATTTTCACAAGTCTACAACAAGTCTACAAATGCTAGGAACAGCTAAGGCTAAGGGTTAATACCCGACAGTGCAACATGTAACAAAATAGCCAGTAACACGGAACCGTGCAATTGTGCAGTCCTCTTGATTGGCACAAAGGGAAGACCACACGCAAACTCCCTGCGCACAGAAAGCAGCTCGCGGGAAAGCAGCAATGCGACCAGGGAAAGTGCAAGAAAACCACAAAAATCAAACACCTCAAACACAAATAAACAGCATATTCCGGGACTCTCCGGTCACAGAGCAGAAACATGTAGGAGTCCCAGGAAATTGGTTTTGTCTTGTGGTTTTTATTGTTTTTTGTTGTGTTCTGATGTTTATGTAATTTTCGTTGCTTTGTGATGTGGTTGGCCGTTTGCCACAAGTGTTTGCATGGGTTGTGCAGTTTGTTTCGTTGGCTATCCTGGTTAGTTAGTGATTCCTGGCTGTGTTTCGTGTCTCTGGGAGCACGCAATGAAATAGTAATACCACTACAAATACTAATGCTGATACTAATACCAATACTAATATTCATACTATTACTAGTTTTTACACACAACATTGCAGCCGAAGCACCTCGCGGTAGCTCTTGAATGTGAGCTGTACATCGATGTGTATACACATATATATATATATGTGTGTGTGTGTATGTATTAATATATATATATACATGTATATCTCTATATATATATATATATATCTGTGTGTGTGCGCTTGTGTATATGCACGCATGCATGTCTGTTCGTATGTATGTATGTATGTGTGTGTGTATGTGTGGTGTGGTGTGGCATGGTATGGTACAGTATGCACACATGAACGTCGATACATATGGCGGTAGAAATAGGAACAGATATATGAGAGACCGAGATATAGAAATATAAATGAATCGATAGATAGACAGATATATATATATATACATACATATATACATATATATATATATAATATTAATGTATATACATATACATACCCCCAGTATGTACGGCCTGAAAAAACAATGGCCGGATGCAACTGAGGCACCCACGCCGGTAAACGGAATGCGAAATTCCACAGGCTGGACTCGCATAGGTTGTCGTTGCAAAGTTAGCGAGTAATCCTCGGCAACACGACCCCACTGACTTACACCTGACAGCCAAGCTACAGCTAAGACACGGCAAATGAATGACGCGGCAAATGAATGCCTAAACTGGGCCCAAACTGAAGCGAGGGGCCGTCATGGCTGCTCCTTTCACAGAGTCCCGGCGCTGGAACCTCACGTTGGCCCAGGTACCCGGTCTGCCAGGGATCCAGCGGGCAGCATCTGCCGGCACACGCATGGACTGCCCGTCAACTTCAACCAAACGGTCGCCGACCTCGACGCCTGCATCTGAGGCTGAGCTCCCAGGAACCACGGCCACAACTTCCGGAGATCCACCTCTTCCGCGAGTGGTGTCTTGCGCAAAAGCCACACCAATGCCCGCAACATCGCCTCCTTCTGCAACCTCTGTCATCTCGGTCCACTCCTCGGGAGGGTAATACTGAGCATAGGGATCTCCAAGTTTCTCCAGCAGACGATCAGCAGCATCGATGAGCCGTTTGGAGGTATGCTCACGACCATCCCAAGTAGGATTCACACCGAAGTTGCTCAGGAGCGTATCGCCCAGCCACTGGAATCCATCTTCCCACCGGGTGGCTCTAAGATCCCTCAACCCTTCCAGCAGAGTCTCCTCCCACTCGTCTCGACCACCGGCTTTGGCAAGCTCGGCATCAAGCCCATACATACACGCTGCAGTCCTCAGGGGCTCACGGAATATCTCGCACGCGCTTGCCAAACTCTAGACTCTAGGCCCCGCAACACACCCTTTGATGAAGGCACTGTGGCTTGCAGCATCTCGCAACGCTAAATCGAAGGCTCAGGACAGTTCGTTTCACAGACAGCCAATGTCACAGAAATCTGCACTCTTGTCGGCAACGGTTGCCTTTTGCAACCGGACCAACCGGTGGAGGACGTCGAGGCTTGAATGTGCGTCGGCCATCTTGGCAAGACTCTCTAAAACCGGCCCATGCCTGGCCTTGAAAGTTTGAAAGCCAGCAGAGAGCTCGGTCAGTATGAGCAAACGCTGGCCGGACTCGTCTAGACCAGCAATCACATCCTCTGAGTCAATCTGTGAAAAGTCAACGCCTGCCTTACACAAAGCTGCCACCAGGCTTTCCCAGCCAACAGCCGCCCCCACAGGCAGGGAGGTCGAACCGGGTGAGAATTCTAGAAGCACCTGGCTCAAGTCAACCGAAGCGGCGAAGCAGGCCCTGAACAAATCTTCTGCATGTCTTCGCAGAAGCCCCCGAGAGCGGCGCAGCATTGTGAGGAAGGCTCTGTAAGAGGGATTCTGATCCCTAGCAGCCAGGAAGGAACCGGCCAAGATTTCTGCAACGTGGCGCGGCACCCTCATGGAGTTCAGGACCCGAACCAGCCCTGCAAGATCTGCCTGAGCGTCCATTCCCCTCTCATGCGCAGAAACGGAGAAGCCAGAGTCTGAAAACCCGCCCGAGGAAAGACCGCACCGGTAGACCGCTGCTCTGACCTCGGATCGAAACTCGGAGACCTGGGCCAGGGAATCGCTCCGTTGCCGATCGAGATGGCCACAGAAGCGCCTGAAGTCTGCGTAGGTGATCACACCCCGATCCGTGGGGTCACAAAGCACCAAAGCCTCGCTGACGGACTTGGCCAGAACGGAGGGCCATGCCTTCAGCTGGCACACCACGTCCTTGCTCACATGCCCCTTCGCAGAGACATCTAGGCAAGCGAAGAGGACATAACTTGGCAAGTCCAACCTGCTCAGCTCACTGACTTCGAGCTCGCCGTGGATAGCAGGTGCAGGCACTGCATGCGAGAAGGAACGTCGTCGCCATGAGTCGTGACACTGAAATAGAGCATCTGAGTCTAGCAAGCCCGAAGTGGACCATCTCCGGGCGACCTCCAACACGTCGGCGTTGGCCATCGCGATACCTGCGCCTCGCACAGCGGCAAGAAACTGGTCCAACCGCAGGAAACGGCCCCCTTCACCTGGACATTTGCCACGAGGTCGGGAGTGAAAAGCTGCCCCCCGACCCCTGTATGTCGTAAGGCTTCAAAGGCCGATTCGGCTTCGCTATCTTCAGTTTGCGAGATCATTGTACAAGACTTGCCTTCAATGTGAAAAACGAGCATGTGGAGGACCCCAAAGTTCCGATCCAAATCGCGCCACAGTCTTTAGAGCATCGCAATGGTAGTGTGAGTCTGTGATTCATCTCACTGTCTTACTTAGCCACGATGAGTAGCCAGTATAACAGCGATAAGCTATAATAATAATAATAATAACAATAATAATAAGAATACTAATAATAATAACAACAACAGCAAAGCCCGGCCCAGCCACCGAGCATTGCGCAGGACTCCTTCAGCCGACTTTGCAGCTCTGTGGGTCCCAGCTTGGCAGACAAAAGTGCCGCAAAGAACTCCTGGCTTCTTGAGGAGGGAGCTTGGTCCAAATTACCAACGTACCGGAGAGTGCCCTTTACTATACACGTTACATATCTATTTATCTGCCGATATCTCTATCTAAGATCTATCTATCTATCCCTATTATGGCAACCAGCTTAACTTAATACTTCGCTACAGTAAGAAGAGCCCAGACTCCTCCTCACTGTGCCTGGCGTGGTCCCTTGGATGTGCTTTCGACTGGATATTGTCAACAAGATTTCCATGCATAAGGTTTCGGGTTCAGGGGCTGGCTTCCGTGTAGGCTACGACAGGAAGACCACTAGATTCACTAGATCCGCACTAGGCTCAAGTTGGCCCGCACTTCCGGCGAAGCTCAACTCAATGTTCCAGATCTCTCCCGCAGTATCTGCAGTACTAGCTTTGACCCCACGTGCTAAGTTCGGAAACTCCGACAGAAAGCTACTCACCTCAAGGTCCAAGCATCGGGTCCGGTGACGAGTCGCTTAGGGCCATTGCTTCCTGGATCTTCGCCTCGCGGACACGAAGCTCAGAATTCTCCAGCTGCGCCAGGCTTCTTAAAGCCGCAGCTGCTGGTGATGCAGATGTCGGGAGGCGCAGAGTCTGCCAGGCCTTCACGACTTCGAGGATTCCGGCTTTATCGGTTTCCAGGATTCCAGCGAGGACGGCTTCTTCGGAACCCTTAGAACACCACAAGGACGGCTGCTTTCTCGACACTTCTTTGGCTGCCGCATCCAGCAAGTTGGCGGCTTCCTGGAGGCGAACCTCACCCGCCCTAAGCAAGCAGAAGAAGGCAGAAAGCAGCTGCCTGGCTGCCGGCAGCGAGGGCGCTCGGAAAGGCTCATTTCTATCAGCCTCCATCGTTTCTTCGGCTGATCGCGGCTCTTCTGCTTTGCGCAGCGTCTCGGCCCTGCGCGCTACAAGCTTGGCCAGTGGCCGTGCTGGCAGAAGCCCAGCAGAGCTTGGGTCCAGCAGTCGCAACAGCTCATCCATCAAGCCCCAGCGTGGACCCCTCGAAGCATGCTGCGTGAGGGCGGCAGCTAACTCTCCATGACGAAGGCTCGCTTCCACGCCCAAGGCTGCCAATTGCTCTGCGAGCTTCCCCAAAGCATCACAGCCCACCTCTTGCTGAAGCAAATCAAGCGCAGCTTCAAGGCGAGCAGACACCTCCAACACAACGCCTTTCCACAAGTCGGTGCTCACCATCCGCTGCCCGCACTTGGCTTTACTGGCCAGCAGCACTGCATGCTTGGGTGTCAAGCCTTCGACGGCTCGCATCAGAGCCTCGCAGAGTTCGTCGAGCTCAAGAGTGCTGAGAGGGCTTCGCGCACTTCCAGGCTTTTGATGCTGCCTGCGGGCTTCGGCCAAGACATCATCTGCCGATATGCCAGCGGCGACCAGCCAGAGACATGAAGAAGTCTCGTCCCGAGCAGTGCCAGGCAGAACCTGATCCAAGGAACTCGCCAAAGTTCTTGCAGGTGCTGGGTCTTCGGTTGCTCCGATCGCTTCCTCCACAGGGCCTTGGGACGCTTGCGGCGGTCTTGCCTCGGGCTTTGGGGCTTTCTGCATCGGAGAGTAGGGCCGCTGGGCCTTTAGCGCATCAGCTGGCCCGGCATGGAGAGCAAGCTTCATGTGCCCAATTTCATGGCCAGAGGAGACCGAGCGGACTTCCACATCTTGGCACAGCAAGAAGATTGGGTTTAGGCCATTTCGGCCTTCCGATGTTGGTAGCCCTGTGGCCGGCAAGGGCAGCCCCGCCAGCCCGAACAGTTGCTTTCCCTGCCAGAAGTGAAAATGCATGGAGCTTAGCCTCGGAGCATCGACCCTCCCATCGCGCAGCTGCCACACTGGCGTGGAGGAAACCTCCGCAGAACCCAACAGGTAGATGACAGAATCTGAATCCTCTTCCTGCAAAGAGGCCGCCACACTTACTTCATCTGCAGGACCAAAGCGGAATGCCACACGCAAGTCACCTGCTGACCCAGAGTCCAAGGCTGAACGCTGCAACCGAAGTCCGCACAAATGTACCTGCAAATGCGCACCAACCACAGGAGAAGGTACCAAGACTGGTCCGGCCCTCTCTGCATCATGCCGCACATCACGCCTTGCCGCTCGACTGCGTTCCTCTGTGAGCCTTGCTTGCAACTCGTGCTGCTCGAAGGATCGTATCGCCTCGGCTTTTGGGCGCAGCTCGGCATCTTCAGCCCAGTCGGTGCGAAGGCAAATCCGAAGCTGGCCAACCATCACCCGATCAGAATGGCTCCGCACCACTGGGAAGAAGCCCTCTACACGCAGCGCATAGTCCACATCCGGTCCACGCAGCCAGGGTTGCAGGTCGATCTCACTAAGGCCGACCGGATCCCCAAGCATGCCCCCCGAAGTTGTGATGCCATACAAGCGGATGCAGAGGGTTTTCATGTCCTGCAAGTATGCCGTGAAACTCTTGGGGGAAGCCTGGATAGGGAACTCGACTGTCCGAAAGCCACTTAGCTCGCGTCCAGCACGTGCTGGGTGGCTCCACAGCTCGAGTGGCGGCATGGCTCCGGGCTGGTCTGGATCTTGTCCCCACCAGTCCAGCACACCGACGAGCTCAGTAGGGATTTCTGCCGGCCTCTCTGGCAAGAACTCATACAGCTGGACCTGGAGGGCCTGAGCACTGGACACTGCCGCAGCCTTTCAACAAGGGCTAGGCTTTGGCAAAACGTACATACTTGCATGCATGCATAATCATAAATACAAAAACACAAACGCATTCATACAGACATAGGCATGTACATGAAAACATGATGCAGACGTGCATAGATGCATACATGCACACACCTTCTCGCTCATGCATGCATGTCAGTGCGTAACAAGTACTTGCACGTTCATCACATAAACTAACTTATCATTACAGCCGTCCCTTCATGAGACCCATTCCCGGACCGAGCGACTCCCTGCAAGGTGCCCGGGACATGAGGAGGGAGACTCGGCCAGCTCCCGCGCATCCCATGGAAAGTTGGCTTTTCGGCTCTGGCGCGATGTTGAGGGCCTAGCTGAGGTTTGAGGGCTTGAGGGTTTTCGCGGCAATCAAGGCTTCTACAAGTAGGGCTCAACGCAACGGGTTTACTGTGGTCTCAAAGCCCGGTGGACAAGGATTCTCTCTCCCGGAAGATTGAACTTGTAACGATTCTGTCGACGCTTCATCGTCCAGATGTATATGTGACTTGCTGTGGCTGCACGTGTGCGAGGCAATTGAGCCACCTGCAGAGCGAGCTACTCAAGCCTTTAACGGCCTTAACGGGTGGTTTCGACTCACACACTCGCAAAGCAGGCATGGCGTACGACGTCCGAGGTTGCTACTGGGACATGCCAGGACACTACACCAGGAATCGACAAGGTAGTAACAAACAAGGTAGTAACAAGCAATGTAAACAGACGCAATTCACAGTGCAATGCACTGGCTTGTCGCCCGTCACTGACAGTTCCCGAACGTAGGTGTCACGCTCAGGGTTTTCCTCGCCACAGATTTTGGATGGCATGCAGGGTGAAACCATTCGTTGCAGAGATGCAAAATTCTCTAGCTCTTGCGACTTGGCTGCACGGCATCGAAGTCTCCCTAGCAAGCCCGGATCTCAGAAGCTTCGCAATACAAGAACGAGCTACACAGAAACGGTTGAAACTAGCTCCTTTGAAGGCTCTCCAAGATGGGAATCACTGGGAACATGCTGCAGCTCTTCTGAAGCAATGAAAGCATCTTTTGGGGCTGAAGGCTGACGTTGATCGCATTCTGCACTTGACAACTGCTCTTTCATTGGCGCCGGCTGGTATAACGCCCCAGCCAGAACGCAAACAATGAGCCAGAAAATTCCCAGTGGAGATGCATGCTTGTCCCAAATCAAGACATTGATTGTAATGCTCACCAACTTACAAAGCACCCCAAGGATTGTGTACGTGGTGGCTGTCAGGACCCTCGTACAATGCCAGCCGCTCCAGCTGATTCCGACGCCTATTGCACTGGAAGCCACCAAAGCCCCAAGCGAATCTCGCGACATGTCTATGCGGTCCACCTTCGACATCTCATCATTTATGATGCTCAGGAGCGCCATCAATGGAAAAGAGAGGATGTTTGTGTACAACGAGGGCCCCCACACAGGACTGCTGAAGTTCAGCTTTGATGTCAATGCCTTGCCATACACCATCGAGTAGGTGATGATCAACATGTATATTGTCACCCAGCCGTACGCACGAAGTCCTCGCAATTTAAATTCGCCATCGGCCAGCATGTATCCAGCTGCACTGATCATCATCGCTAACAGAGAAAATGATGACCTCCAAGATGGCAGCATTCGGTCCAGTGCGGCCCATTCAATCACACTCACCAGTAGTGGAGTGCAAGCTCGGAAAACAATCACAGTCTCCACGTTCGAATGCTCCAAACTCCTTCCGTTTGTGTACACTCCAGCTGCGAAAGACAGGGCATACGGAAGCATCAACCTAAGGTTGTGCCACGTGATGCCGTCCACACGCAGGAAGCCCACGGCACTGCAAGCCTGTATGAAGACAGCTGCGAACAGTAGTTGCGCCGCAAACACCAGGCCTGGCAGCGGAATCACCGTAAGCGCCACCTTGTTGGCTATGAGCATCAAGCTCGAGCATGTTACATACAGCATTATTCCGGGCACGGCACTCAATCCCATGGCGACGCTCAACGAGGACAAAGCTCGTGCTTTACGGCATGGAGCCCACAAAATCCGAAGGATGTTGGGGGCGCTTTTGAAAGCGAGCCTGCTAGCCGGCATTGGCATGGGGTCCTCTAGGTTGCGGTGCAATGCTCTGCATAGTAGTAGCAGTAGCAGTAGCGGTAGCAGTAGCAGCAGCAGCAGCAGCAGCAGCAGGAGCAGGAGTAGCAGCAGCAATTACGTTGATCAGGCTCCAACTAAAATCACCCCACGTTTCAATGATCAAGAGCTAACAACTGCATTGCTCAGCTTGGCCTCCAGCCAACGAAAACGTTGCATACAAGGTTTATGTTAAACAACTTCATGTGATGGACCCACTTTGCAATTCATCAATGGTGCAGCGGGTGGTTTAGGTCTTGGCGTGTAGATCCCAACCTTTTGTTGCAAAGCCCTAAAGCCCTAAAACCCTAAATCCCCAAATCCCTACATGCTATGCTCTTAGTTCCAGAGCTCCCACTAGAACCACCCTTGCAGCCACCATGTTTGCCCCACCAGTCCAGATCTGCAGGAGAACTTGCCTCGCAAAACCGCAACTTCTGACCGAGTCGTGTCGAATGAGGTCTCTCAGAAAATGCTACGCAAAATCACGATGCAGTAATCAACTAAGCTGCTCTTCATCGGGCAGGTCTGCTTGATTCCGTGGTGACCCCGGCGCTTCAGCAACGACACGCTGAACCGTCTGTTTCACCTTACTTCCACACTCGCGAGCCAGCATCGGAAGGACGCACTTCCTGGACTGCTCTCTGACAGGACGCTCATGCCAAAAGTTGCTCGTTGCTGCTTGAGCCTGAGGCTAGGGCAAACTCGGCATTGTTTCGCGGTCGCAGAGTCCAGGCAACCTTTGACTGGAAGATACCTCCCTAACACTTGCTCAAATGTGTATTCCTAAAGTCGCCGAGACACTGCAGATCGGCAGCATGTTGTCGTGGCTACAACTCCTCGCTGCTTCGGAAGGCTGGAATGCAATCTGCCCACTACGCATCAAGCAACATCGGCACAGCCCCCGCCCCGTGACGGCACCTTTTGGCCAAACTGCACAAGATTTAAGTCAAGTCCGGGAGCTTTTAGAGCCGCCTTAATTATTCCCGGCAATGCCAAAGACAGCGCGAGACCAAGAGGAAAAGGCGACCTTGTCACAGGCCAGCAGGCCTCGAGATGCGAAATTGATGCCTTGCGAGCTAAGGGAGACCACCACCCCGTCTACTCCGGGCAAATCTATGCTACTCTGGCGTGCAAATACGACTGCCGAATTTCTGCGCTTATTTGCGCGACCATTTCCAGATAAGCCAGTCGTTGCATCCGATCTGAAAAGATGGCCGGAGCTCATCAAAGGCAAGGTATCCGACAGCTTTCAGTGCACAGGCACAGAAGCTGACGCATCCGACGGTGAACACCAAAGCGACGGTGATCTTCTCTGAGCGCTTGACAGGGTTGTCCAGCCCACACTCTATGTTGTCTGCCGCTCGTCGGTGGAGGACCTTCCAGTAGAGGACCGCGGGATAGATCTGAGTCACCCAGGGTGTAGTCAGGGCTGTGACGAAATCCAGCAATGTGTTGATACTGGGGGTGAAAGTGCTCAGAAGCAATGCGGACAAGAAGGTGGGCAACGAATAACCCAAGTATCTCAGAATATCTGGCATTGTCCAAGTGTCCTTGAAGTTCGGAGCCCAACTTCTCTGGCAGAACCGACTGAGTGGAACCGAGTCCAGCATGTACGACACAAAATTGCCGCCCAGTTGAAAGGCATTGAAGAGAGTGTTGATCACGTCTCCCTTCACGAATGCACCAACACCCGTAGTGATGGCGATGACTTCGCCGACATTGTAGCCCCAGCGCGCCACGACGGTGGTGCCAACAATCCTTACGATGCGTTTGGGCCATGATTGGGAGAGTTTTGTTCGACAACTCGTGGCATGCCACACATGACTCAAGTGCACCCGAGCGGCACGAAGAGTAGCACATTCAGGCTTCCGGCCATCAGCAGGGATTTCTTGAAGTCGGCGGGGTTTTGCATGCAAGTGCTGAGTTCGACGGTGAGGAAAGCGGGAATGAATGCCCAAGCACCGATCGTAAAGCCACTGGCAAGCCGTATGAGCCTCAAGCCTGCATTCGGCTCTGGGTTACCGAACCACTGTGCGGGGACTTTGGGAGTGTGCTCGTACTGGAAGGCGCCGATGACCATTGTGATGACCATGCCGACGACACAAAGAAAGGAAATCACGGTAAAGCCCTGAACATTGTTGAAGCTCCTGACTTGCGTCGTCAGCAAGCAGATGCCTGCAATCACCCACACGTAGTAATCAATGCAGTTACCCAGCGGACCAAGCGTGCCAATGGAATACAATGATAGTGCACAGAATCGAAGAGCACACGGCATGAAAAGGCAGAAATTCCCGAGCTGGATCACGTTGCCCCACATCTGTGCGGGCCTGCCAATCACTTCCAAACCAAGATCTCCGAAGGTCTTGCCTGGGCCACTTGGGGTCACTGCCGCACTACTTGCAGTCATTCTCTTTAGGGTCATGTACAGACATGTTACCTCCAACATGAGCCAAGCGACAGTGGGGGTACAGCAGCTTCATCTCCAGGAGCATGTTGGCTCCAGCAACTGAAGCCGATGTAAGGATTATGCATAGAGCCATGCCGCCGGCGTAGCCGGCATTTGCAATGGCGAACGGCACGGCCATCACAG